GTGATCACACAGACCTAAGAATGAATCCTGCTGGTTTTGCTCTCATCCCGTCTTTCAATTTTTGTTCAGATGCTTAATTGCAGTAATTTACTTTAGCCTCGAAACCAGTTGTTAGCAGGGGGCCATAATTTTAGTGTTTCATCAGTACTTCAAATATAGCTTGATAAGTATCGATCTGAAACAACATACTGTGGCAGTAATTACAACGGTAACACACCATATACCAAAGTGCCGAGTACCAAGTAAACTTCATCGATTGACCTACAAGACAAAGATCTTACTATGACAACGCCAGCTGTCTGCACTGTAAAGAAGGGTTGATGTTAATTATATGAAACGCATACGTAATAACCTGGAGTAATAAACTTGGAGTACGGCAGGGTGTGACACTGGGACCACTTTGTTTGTTGTGTAACACCGCACAATATTCCAGCTACATGACGGCGGTCTGTAAATAATCAAGTCTGGACCAGACAATCTAGTGATTGACATCATGAGCAGCGATCCACGCAATTGGGATACGATGACATGCATCAACCAGGTCAGCGTGCCTGACCACCCGATCCCGTTGGTCGTTGCTAACGACAAGCATGGGTCGCCTTTTACGGCAAGCATGGGTGGCTGAAGACCTGTTCTACCATTAGCTTCAGTCTCTAGAGTTGTTCTAACCAGACACATCATGAGGGGAACATAGAGGAGGGAGTCATGTATTAGTCTCTTTCTGTACGCTCTTCCAGCACTATACAGCGGCCTGTTAATCGAGTCTGGGTCAGAAAAACCAGTGGTTGATATCATGAGCAATTGTCTGGTCCAGAATCGATTATACACAGCAGCCGTCATATGTCTGGGATATTGTTGAGTGAGGCATTTAACAACAAACAGACATAATTACCGAATGTTCGAATCTATAATACGTGGACGGTTTGAAGGCGTCACGAAGGCCGGATATTGAGTTTCATTTCTCGCCAATACCACCACGGATATATGAAAGATGTAGCTAGGTATTGGTCATAACAATTTCCTCAATTATCTTAATTATCCGCCATTAATGGTAAGCTGGTCGCGCCACAGGCTACAAGAAGTATTGATGACGTTTGAATACATGACTGGGTTCTGGCATTCTAAAGCTTCTTGTATAAACGTCCATAAATCTACCGGGTCCCGTTCCACAAAGCGATCTTAGAGCTACGATTGTCTTCGGTCTATGTTAAAGCATTGGAGTTACGATAGTCGTAGCACTAAGGTCGCTTTGTGGAACGGGGCCTAGCATATGCATCACCACTGTTAAGCTCGATACTGTGGACGTTGGTTTAAGGGGCGGTCGGGTAGCCTTGTGTTTAAAGCGTTCGATCGTCACGCCGAACACCCAGGTTCGATTCCCGACATGGGTACAATGTGTGAAGCCCGTTTCTGGTGTCCCACGCCGTGATATTGCTGGAATATTGCTAAAAGCGGCGAACTCACTCACTCATTCACTCACTCACTCACTTGATACTGTGGACTTTGGTTTCACGCAACTTATTACAGCATGTCGTATCACCGTGTGAAGTTTAATATTGAAAGAATAATCAAAGTCGAACAGTCTGCATCCCTGCGTTAAAACTCTAGAGTAGGTTCATTTCAAACACATGATGAGAACGAATCTGGGATTCGAACCAGACCAGATGATCCTGTCAGCTAAGGGACACACATCTGTACTGCCATATAAAACTGAGCCAACTGAGCCGCGTTAATCCAGAAAATAGCAATATTCCATCAATATGACGGATGGGGACTCCAGTGTTTCACACACTGTCCAGATGCGGGGAATCGAACCCAACTTCGCGACGAGTGAACGCTTTATCCACTAGGCTACCCCACCGCCCCCATTCCAGGAAATAGCGAAATCGACTATGGGTTATGTCAAATCAACATGGAGTGATTAAGGATCATACGATGTGTCAAGTTTGGTGTATAACCCCTGTGAAATCATTCTTACAGGGGTTCAATGCGCTGTCAAACCTGTGTTGTGACTACTACCTGGTACCCATATAAAGCCAAACGTGGCCTCGTTCTTCAACGTTACAACAGTCGGAATGCTAAAATACCCTAAATTTGTTCGTTCGAGATCAGGTGCAGTAGACAAAAACACAAACCTACACCAGCCATGTATGTATGTAAATATTAAATGTTAATACAAATCAAATGAAAAAAATAAAAAATGCTGAACATCTTAAAATGTAAGTGGCGTGTACACATATGACGTGAACAATGTGAGTTGGGTTGAGCGACGCTTCATACAGCTTTTCATTTAAATTGCAGCTTAATGTGAAGCCTGTCCAAGACGTATGGCATTTGACTGAAACCAACGCGCATGCTATTTACAACAAAGAATCAAAATCGCGGTGAACATGGAATTCGAACTCCCGACCAACTGATCCTGAAATTGCAAAGGGACACAACTCAGCACAACGAAGTGATGATGGCCACGTGAGCGTGTCTGCAGATGAAATATCTACTCTAACGAACACACTTGTGCTGTAACTGTGCCACAACGCTCAGGCCAAGCGGTACTTGTGAAACAGGCACAATGAGCCACTCAAAATTCGCACTGTATCAAAGACACGACACAATGGCCATTACCAATGACATTTAAAGCCTGCCAAGTAGGTTTAAAGCAACAGCAACGCGACCTACGGATATGCAATGTGTGTCAATTGCAATCATCAATTGCAACTCTTATTTGACATATCCTAGACTAATTAACGGTTGTCGCAAACGAACATTTCAATGGAATGCAACAGATAGCTGCATATCTAGACAACTGTGAACCATATCGCCATGTATGTGCGGTTATCATTTTCAGAAGTACGTCAACAGATTCACTTGTTCTGAATGTAAGTACGGTTTATACACAGTCATTCACGCTTACGGGGAGAACACATGTTTTGAGTCAAATTAACCCCACGGCTGTTGACAGACACGAAGCACATTGACTGGCATGTGATCACGTGCAGACATGAGTGTACATTTCCAATTCCTTATGTTCAATAACAACAGCTGATAGAATCAGGCGTTTTATTGTGCCTCGGGGTACGTCTTGTGGGATTATATGTTTTATTTTTATTGTTTATCAATTTATTTCCATGATTTCTTGACACTTGTTGCTGTGGGACACGATAATAATTATTATGTTTATGATGATTTTCAATAACTTACGAAAGTTTCATTTTCAGCTTAAGTAATAAAGTTTTTATTTGTTCATAAAAAGAAGTTATTTGTTTGAAGAGTGCGTTAGGTATGAGTATGATACCAGTTAACAAAATTGGTCAATAGCAAAATGATAGGGATGAACCGGAATTCGAACCAACGAGCATAGGTTTCTGGCGCACCTAAGGGATACAACTCTGCAAGGCCACCCGTACCCCTAATGTCTGAAGAACAGACAACGAGCGTGGTATAACTGGTGGTATGAAAAATGAAAATCCTGTCCTGGGCACCATTCCACAAAGCGATTTTAGCGCTACTACTAACATAAGCCAGTGTTAAAATATGGGAGTTACGATCACCTCAGCGCTAAGATGGCTTTGTGGAACGGGGCCCTTGACGTGTGGTGTTAAAACAACTGCACTCCAGATCATGTGTGATATTTACTGGTCGATACAACACTGCAGCAGAGATAGTATGTGATAAAAACAAAACTATTGCGTTATAGACTATGTGACGTGACTAGTAAACACAATTATCGCACTGAGAGGCTGTGAGTGAAATGATGTTCAAAAGCGTGGGTTATAAGGATGTTCCGGGTTCCTACATCACTTTCATATTTTCTCGCGCACATATATCCGACAGAGAGACTGAATGTCGGAGCATCTTATCTGGCCGAATTCCAACTCAACTGCTTACACATGGAATAAGGTTCCTTCCTGTTTATATTACAAACTTAATATACATAAAAGCGACAAAAGAAGTACAAATATTGTCGGTGGGAAACACAAACATCTGTTTTGATCTCATTCATTCTCTAAATATGAGTGGCAATCTCTCTTCCACAAGCTCGGACTCTCTTTCAAGGTCATTGTCATGAAACATTCTCCCAATCTCTCAATCAACACCTCATGAACCTTCTACATGTCATTGTCATAATATTATCTCCACCATTCTGAAGTTCACTTTCATAAGCGTTCTCTCCACCTTCTGAAGGTCACTTTCATAAGCGTTCTCTCTAACCTTCTGAAGTTTACTTTCATAAACGCTCTCCCCTCCAAGCGTCCCCATATTCTACTATTTCATCCCATCAGTTCATAAAGACTTCTGTGCATTCAACCTGTCTATAGTTTCCTTGAGGTATCGGGGCACGGGTGGCCCAGTCGTCTAAGGCGCCGAGATTCGCTGTGCGGAGTTGAGTCCCTTTGGCACGCCAGAAACCTATATTCGAACATACCGGTCCGCCCTTATTATGTTTCTAGGTTTGCCAGCACCATACCCGTGCTCGTGGGACCTGCATCACTTCGGGCTTTCCTCCCACATTAAGCTGACATGCCGCGATATAACTGGAAAACTGTTAAAACCGGCGTTAAACCCAACTCACTCACCCACCTCGAGGTATCTCGCATTAATTTTATTTCATCACACTAACTAATGACGTCTCAAAATATTTTTAAAAAACACTCACACCAAAGTTTGTTTACACTGCACTCACCAATCTCACACACACAATCAACACACACTACTGCATCACATTGCCCCAATATTTGATACTGCCATCGATTTTCCTATCACGCACTGTCCTGAATATCAAACATACATAAATGTGGACACATATTCCCCCATCAATCATTCTGACAATCTGTAACAGACGTCAGCTGCTACACCTCAACAGTGAAGGGTTATTAAACGAGTGGATAGATGTTATAAGCTTGTAAACAGTGTTGCTTCATGAGGGTTAGCGATGGAGAATGAAGCATGCAGACAAGGAAGCAGGACGCATACGTTAGTTCTAGAAGCATGTGCCCACTCACATCTGGCCCCCGACCTCCGTGCGCTCCTCTAATTCCATGGTGCCATTGCCGTTGGTTGAGACGACGTCATATTTATGGAAACGTGGCCTGCAACAACAAGGCAGGCTGACAAACGGGGACATCACCCAGGCAATACTTGGCCCACCGGTCAGGCATAGAATCAAATGTCTGACTGCTGTGTGTCTGTGACTGTGGTCTAGCTGTGTGACTGTGGTCTAGATATGCATGTTTGTATGCTTGTGACGGAATATGACTGACAGCCTTTGCATGCGTGACCGTCTGCTTTTAGTTTGTCTGTGGGTGAGTGACTGTTGCTGAGGGCGAGTGCCCCATGTCCGTGGGTGCGTGACTGTTGCTGAGGGCGAGTGCCTCATATCCGTGGGCGAGTGACTGTTGCTGAGGACGAGTGTCCCATGTCCGTGGGCGAGTGACTGTTGCTGAGGGCGAGTGCCCCATGTCCGTGGGCGAGTGACTGTTGCTGAGGGCGACTGTCCCATGCCTGTTGGCGAGTGCCCCATGTCTGCGGGTGAGTGACTGTTGCTGAGGGCGAGTGTCCCATGTCTGTGGGTGAGTGACTGTTGCTGAGGGCGAGTGTCCCATGCCTGTTGGCGAGTGCCCCATGTCTGCGGGTGAGTGACTGTTGCTGAGGGCGAGTGTCCCATGTCTGTGGGCGAGTGACTGTTGCTGAGGGCGAGCGTCCCATGTCTGTTTTGCGAGTGCCCCATGTCTGTGGGAGAGTGACTGCTGTTGAGGGCGAGTGTCCCATGTCTGTGGGAGAGTGGCTGCTGTTGAGGGCGAGTGCCCCATGTCTGTGGGAGAGTGACTGTTGCTGAGGGCGAGTGCCCCATGTCTGTGGTCGAGTGACTGTTGCTGAGGGCGAGTGCCCCATGTCTGTGGTCGAGTGACTGTTGCTGATGGCGAGTGCCCCGTGTCTGTGGGCGAGTACCTATGTCTGTGGGCGAGTACCTGTGTCTATGAGCATGCCAGCGTCTCCATGCTAGAATGTATTAGTTTGTCTGTTCGTCAGCCAGTATGTGTGAGCATGACTGCGTCTGTCAGTAACAGTGCAATTTAGCTGTGCGTCAAATTACCTATGTTCATTACTGCCAAAAATGCTTCCTGCTCAAGATGGGAATACCTGGGGCCAGTGGCTGATTATCTGGGCAGGTTCAGCTATGTTCATTGCCAGAGAAGCAAGAAGCCTTTGAAGCACCATCATAAAAACACATCCAATGCAATCAGAAGCGGGAACAAGGCAGATTAATGAGAGGATGGCCGTTTGGGTTACTAAGCTCAGATAAAGAACACCGTATCCTACAAAGGTGCGTCTCCGTCTCAAAGGGCCAAACCCGTCGTCAGTGTTCGTGTCAAATATAGCACAGTGTTACAGGATTGAAATATACATGAGGACAAAGTCCCCACCACCCACCCTTCCCCGGGCCCGTACATTTCGTAGTCGTAGCACCCCAGGCGAAACCGAGACAGAATGTGCCCCAGTACCACATGTTCCTGGATAGAGCCGACTATTGAGGATCGGGTGGATAAGATCGATCTGGTTGATTGTATATGGTCGTGTCAAGGCGGCGTGGGCCATTGGTGTTCCTTGTCAAAGGTCCTGGTCGCCGTGATACAGCTGGACTTTGGTCAGGAGTGAATAACAATCACTCACTTACTGACTTAACCCACCCACCCTCATTCAATAGCCCTGTGGTTTCTATTGAACAGGACGTTCCAGCTGATTGTCCCACAGTGCCAATACACTTTTCATCCTCTATATCTGCTTGTTTTCTTTTTCCTTTCGTTATGGATGTTGTTTAACGATACAGCCAACACTATTCCAGCTGTATCACGTCAGCCTGTGCATAATCGAGTCTGTACCAAACAAACCAGAGATCGCCATCCTGACCACAGACCCACCCCGGATAGGAAATAAACACGCCACCGATCCAGGCCACCCAATCCACACAGTCGCCTCTTCCAACATAAGTGTAGTACCTGGGGACCTATTCTAACCCTTATCACCCCATTCTCAACACAAGTCCTGAAGTGTCATCAACGTCGTGTCTTGTCTATTCCATGAGCAAATGGTGGCATTTGTCATCAAATCCCGTGGTGGTTATGTGATGTGACCATTCCGTATCCTCCTGTAGGCGTTTTAACATATACATTCACTCACATTCAAATTAACAGAACAATTTCCGTTTCCTCATCCCTCCTAGGCCAAACATGATAATGGCGTTATGGGGCTCGACGGGGTCACTGACCCTCATTTCCCGCTGCTGATAACTCAAAAGGAAGACTACATATATGGTTGAACCTGAAAATGAGATCAGTTAAGAATGTTGCCATGGTTACCGTGTACTTACACGTCAGGGTACTCCAACAGAGCTCTTGTCTTGTAAGTGCCAATAAGAAGACTTCCGGTCACTCCGCCGAGCCCCATGAACAGGATAATCCAGGCAATGAGAGACGCGCACGGCACGTGCGATAAACATCTCAGGAATTTGTCACAGCACGTGTCTCCTCGCACTGAAATACACAAGGACAACATGATGTCATCTGTCACTGATGAAGGAAGCAATGCTATGTTTGTTTGTTTACTTGTTGCTTTAACGCCGAACTTATCTATATTCCAGCTATGACAAAACATAATCGGGGCGAAGCGGGATTCGAACCCACAATCATAGGTTTATGGCGTGCCACAGCGAATCGCGGCGCCTTAAGGGGCATTCACATGGTACAACTAGTTGTATACAACTTGTTGTATGCAATTAGTTGCACGAACTGAAGTTGTATACAACACGGCGGCGAGTTGCATACAACTCGAGTCTCACGAGATCTCTGACAAAAAACTTGTGATTCACTACATTATCGCTGGAATCTTGGTTGCCGAGTTATGTTCAGACGCATCGCTTTGAAAAATCAACGCTGTGCGAGAATTGCGGTCGCGCGGTACTGGACCAACCTCTGACTTTGCAATTTAACGGACTTGTATATTATAGAATTTTTAACCCCATGATGGAAAATTAAATGTATAACGTGACACATTCGATACGAAAACGTACTTGTTTTATGTGGCGAAAACAAATTTTCCGTTACATGACGTCAAAACACGAGGGCAATGTCCACATGTACGAAGACAAAAAGGGGCATAACTCCGCAATTCTTAACCTAGTCATAGCAATACCCAGTTTCCGTCATGTCCGTGGTGAGCATCTGCTTTGGCTGAGGACAATTATACATTCTAGTATCTTTTTGTTTATGTGTTTCTACAAAGTTCCCACAAAGCTATCGATTTTAATAATCGCATCGGTTCCTTTTCTGGGACATTGAATGATTGTCATCCAAAATGTTCTGAAGACATATTTCAGATTTTGTTATAATATAGAAGAATGATCTATAAAAATCCTGAAAGTGGCATTTGGCCAGTTGAAACCAGATACTTTTAGCTTATTTCCTAATTTATAAGAAACGTTGAAATCGCTAACACAAAAAAGTAACAGTATATTACCACTTATATTCGGTTATAGTATAGAAAATTTCGATTAAAAGAACAGAATGTTGGGCTTTAATGGGCAACGCACACCCAAACCCCAACAGACCATGACCCACCTCCACCCTGGAATCTCAAATGGTGCCCCCCTATTTTGAAGCGCGCACCTGATGCAATCTTTAGCTGTCAATGTTCCGATAATTAAACGATAAAATTCAAGTCAAGTAGTTGTCCAAACATGAGTTATACATCAATAAAAACATAACGTGACGAATTTCCTTCAGGTATACATTTACTTTAATTTAAGAAATGAAGTGCCTGTTTTATTGAATCTATCTATATAAATTTGCCACAATGAATATTTCACAATTCTCCAAAGGAAATATGTATATGTTGCAGTGTGTTACATTCACATATCATCTTATTGGAAGAATAACACGATGAATGTCAATTTCTATGATCAAACAAACAGCTGATTATTATGCGTTTCATAAATTCTATGGCATTTTAGATTATATTAGTAACAGTACTGCATACATGTACCCATTTTGCAGCAGTGCATTATTTTACTGGGTGAGACGATATTGAAGAGATATTCAAATTATAATTCAAGATTGAAACAGTAAACTACTTCATGAACTGAATGCGTTGTGTACTAGTTCACCCGCACCTCAAAGAAAATAACAAATAAGTACAACGATGTTGATGCTGACGTATACTAATATGACATCACTACCGGTAACCTCCCGTCATAACATAGCGAGTTCAGTGATAGCAGTACGCGGAATGTTTGGAGTAGGTTTTACCGTGATGCTGGGATCACATATATACATAAATGAGTCAAGTAAGTTAAGTAATCAGAATCAATCTGAAATCAACAAGTTCTATTTGTTTTTATGTTTCCCTTATCGCATCGATACCACGTGGAAAGGCAGACCAATACTGTCGTCAGTGTGCGTGATTTTGCGTCAGTCATGGCGTCACGTGAAACGATTTCTGTTGACTTTTCCAAATAAGTATCTGTGTAATTATTAATTCCTCAATTCTTGCAACGATTGTCGAGCCATGCATATTCGTAATAATTTGAGCTAATGTATGCAACAAATTAACGACCGAATCTCTCGGAATAGAAGAAAATGTTTGGTAAAACTAGAAGTTTGCTTTGTTTACATTTTAAATGAGAAGGCCCACTGGTAGGTTTCACAACACAGGGTTTGGTTTCACACTTGAATATTGCAGTTGATTTCATTTGGACCGTTTGTATTAGTGACTTAGACAAAATGTCAATTGATTGTTAATGGTATGATGAATTCAGGGATGTATGTATCGTAGCTCAGTGTGAAATACATGTGATGTGACGCGAAAAGAACCGTGATTTTGCAACGCTATCCAACATGGAGGTTCGGTCCAGAGTTTTTTATGTTTCGAAAACGAATATAGGGGTATGGGAGTCTTTTCGGAATGATGATTGGTGTTTTGACAAAGAGGAGGCACCCAATGGTTTTGTAATTGAACTTCTCATGTAGCTATACGTTATTTGAATAGATAATCACATGTATGATGTATTTTAAGTTTTAGAAACGTATTATGGACCCAATCTCATCTTGGTCTACACTACAGTGTACAGTGTACAGTCACATAGCCTGTCGTTTCAAATAACACCATGGACAGTTTAACCAGGCGAATTAGACCGATGCAAATGTCAAAATATATAATTTCGTACAGTGGTCTTCTACGTACCTACTTTTCATAGGTCCTTTATTGAGTGGTGACACTGGAGTTATCGAGTTATCGACGTGAATCGGCGTCGCCATTTTTGTTTACAAATTGACGTGTAAATGTCACGTGATTTTCATACGCGTTTTGATTGGCTGCGTTCATACAACTTGTCGCATGAAAATAGAGCAAGTCCTATTTCGTACAACTCGCGTCCAACAAATTGCATACGTCAAAAGTTGGACCGACTTGCCCGTTCACACGATGCAATGTGTTGCATGCAACAAATTGTATACAACTAGTTGTACCGTGTGAATGCCCCTTTAGACGACTGGGCTACCGGTGCCCCCTTAACACTGCATCGAGGAGAGTGATATTATAATGACGACACTGATACACAACGGCGATGATGATAATGATGGTTATAGTGATGAGAGTATGTTGTGACACTGCTTTTAGCAATATTCCAACAATACCACAGCGGAGGACACCAGAAATTGGATTCACAACATTAATGATGATGATGATGATGATAATAACGACGATGAAGTGACAATGGTGACAACGGCAATGACGATAACAATAACAATAATAGTATTAATGACAAGTACTGCATTCAGGGTAATGAAAACGATGATGGTGAAGTCGCAATGACAACGGTAATGGCAATAGCAATAACAATGTGGATGACAAGTATTCTAGGTGAGTAAGTATTGTTTTACGCCGCTATATCCAACAGCATTCCAGCATTATCACGGCGGGGGACACCAGAAATGGGCGTCACACATTGTACCCATGTGGGGAAATGAACCCGGGTCTTCGGCGTGACGAGCGAACACTTTAACCACTAGGCCACCCCTACGCCGTATTCAAGGTGATGAAAACGATGACCACAGCTGCCTTACTGAAAAAGATGCTGATGAAAGTAGTGAATTATCGGTATTGTCGTCTTCCTGAATTAGATTGAACCTACGCGCAAGTATTCGGATATTCACACATGTCACTCGGTTTGTTGTCGATTTTTAGGATCCACCCAACTGTGACTAACAGTGAAAAAAACATCAATCTATGTTTGAGCACACGCTCGATTATTCCTTGATAGTCAAACATGACGACGGAAGCAAAATAAACAACTTGAACAGATGTAGCATTCCTAACACACACAAACACATCTCCAACATTCCCGGATCATTCATCTGCCGAGCGATTATCCTCATTATGCGCCATTAATATTCAGACATAATAAGCAACACATTCCAATAATAGCTGTCATTTCCCGTTTATTTAAAATATTCCCTGCCAAACTATTCAAATACGTGTAATCCATGCTTTCCAAACATTCTGAAACCACGCCAGTTTCATGTGCAATTTCTGCTGCATCAACATCGCCAGGCAACTTCAGGAACATAATTAATAGTGCAATGCAACTCCAAACTCATTGGCCCGGACAGAATATGAGAAAACACCTAAGCATACACATCAAACAGGCACAGTCTCACCTTGAAGTAAACATAGCACACAGCTGGAAGTTGTGGAAATCACAAGGAGGTAAAACCCCACCTTGCGTCACACCTACGTGTTACCTTCGCCGTAATGAGCCTAAGTGCGTTCAAAATCGCATAAGCAATACTGTACACCAGATATAACCAATAAGACAGGTAAACTGAATATGAAACTAGATCACGTCATATGACCGCAAACTGCAACAGCTTTGTATAGAGAGTATGCATTAAAGAGACCTGCGCAATGGCGGAACCACTGGCCGCGATCCAGATGCTAAACATGTCTTATTAATGTTATGTCATGTTACCAACCTTGGTATTCTGTAGCCATGTCGTGTGGAAGTGTCAGTGAGGTTGACAACGTCCTCTCGGTACTGGCGTTCCGCAGGATATTAGCGCTTGTCACTCAGATAAATAACAATACAGCGCATCCCCCATCAAGGAAACCACTCGACAAACTTGCCAACAACAATCCGGGCCTCATTGGAATTTCGACATAACTACCATGGGTTATTAATCCACATTAGCGCTCACAGTCCACGCGTAATGTATGACAATGCGCCAGTGTGCGAAGCTACCATCAGACACAACAATACAACGTTCTCTTTTCGCTGCGCCTTGCACCATCTGCCCGTCGAGGGACGACAAAGGCTTACCACAAACACATAGATAGATGCGTTACATACATGCGGGAGAACTGAAGTAATATTTAGCACGTGGTTGTGGTGGAGGGAAAGGTTACAGACTAAGAATGGTTTTCCGTCTGTTTCCAGTTTGGGATGCTCGAGGGATGGGGAAGATGCTTCTCCGCCTGATTC